CCCTGTTGTGCTTTGTCTGTGTTGCGTGTTTCCATCATGCCCATATGTTGCGTTCTCGGCTGCAGAGTAGCTACAGGAAATGAGAGACACCACGGCATTTCTTTTGTGCCCACGTGTACCTGAGCAGCGAGAGGTATGGGACCACGCTATTCCTCATGCGAATAAGAAACTGCACAGCAACTCACGTGTGTGTGATATGCACTTTCGTGAAAAGGACATCCTGAAGACTTTCACGCACGTCATATGGTAAGAAGGTACAAATCGCAAGAGGAAAGTGGGACCTTGTCGAAGGATGCGTTCCACGAATATTCCCGAATTTGCCCGCTTACCTTTGTCGCGGGGCCCTCGATAAATAAGTGAAAGCTGCCCTATAGGAGTGGGGTATTTTCCAGAATATTATCGGCGAAAAAGAATAGACTATTCCTGAGCACTCGGCTCGAAGACAGTGAAATAAGTACCGACATGCCGTCAACTAGCGGCGTCATTTTGCTTCAAGACATAGAAAATGTTTGTTTGCATACTGACGGAAAGTTGTTGAGAATGGCGAGACAAGACGTCTTGCGGTGTTTTTAAGGCTCAAAAAAAAAGTGCCATTTGTGGAGAAATGCCTTGTAGTCGCAGAATACATGACAGTCATCATTAGCAGCCGTCACCATCGCTTGGCGAAGTTACCCCGCAAGGCAGATACTATCTTTCGATTGGCCGAACTTCTGGAGGACATAGAAAAGCTGAAAGTGTGTTCATGTTGTGCCAGTGCCTCAGCAGGCAGACTCGCGAGAAAATGACTACGAAGTGCTCACGGATACCCCGAAGTGCAGTTTCTGCTCGAAGCTTTGGTTGCAGCTGTGATAACAGGTTTTATTAGAGGAACTTCAGAAGAAGCAGAGGGAAAACATGCTCAAGAAAATGGCCACACGCGTAGCTTTTCGACGATCTAAGTTGCTAAAGAATGTGACTGACATGAAAAAAAAAAAAAGGCTGACTACATAACCAGACAAAAGCCACGAGATTGCGTCACATAGTTGTAATTTATTTTCAAGCACGAAAAACACAGCCACAAAAGAGGATGCAAGACATTGTAATTGGGGTTTCGCGTCTAAAAATCTATTGGAAACGTACAGCAACTAGCAACTAACCGACAGACTCGCATGTTATGCTATATATCAAGGATTGTTTATTATGGGCAGTTCAGAGAACCATAATTATATTGTATTTGCCTTACACCGCTAAATATTGCGTAGTATTAGGTTTCTTCGGCAGCACGACAAATCTCGATAATATACTGTTAGCAAAGTTCGGAACGGCCTTGACGACTACGCGTTTTCGTCTGCTAGTGGAAGCTTGTTGCGCTGCCAGTGCCACCAAACCGGAAGCTATCCCGGTACCGTGTGACGAGAAGTCTGACGCGGGGAGTTTTGCAACTTACCTATTGTAGAAACATTGGTTCGCAAAGAGCTGTTGCTGCCATGAGAGCATAAGGTATATCCTTGCAAACTCGCTGAGATGCAATCATGCTTCCATGTTAAAATGTTCGCTGCAAGGTTCGAAGTCTGCGACCGCACTCATCGTGGCAATGATGAAAGCCCCGGCATCACTCCACCGCGGCCAAGCAGTGGCCAATTGCATGCGTGGGGACGCCGTGACGGCACTTCCTGATTGGCTGAGAGCAATCTGATTCGTGACGACATGCCTTCAGTACTGAGTCTGGGGCAAGATCAATTGAGTAAGATATTCGGTCTCCGCGTTATCTCCAGTAATACCTTATCTTTTCACATCCAACCAAAACTGGACGCTTTCTTCAAGGCCTCTGCTCATTCCACCTCAACTACATGTTTCTCGTCAGCGTACCTTTCAGGTTTCTGACTGAATGTGCGTATCGGACGCCCAAGTGGAAGTCTTACACCAGAAACACCAGAAACGATGACGTGGTTAGCTACAATGACAGTACATTTTTTTCAAGGTTCTGAATCGGTGTCTCATGTGAGCGAGTTATGGTGGCTACTTCAGATTGTATCAGCGTCATATCTGGTTGATATAAACTCCGAACAAGGCACAAAACACACACAAAAAAAGGATATATACAGTGTCGTCACTGAGGCGACGTTGTTTCCCTTGCCGTTATCAACCGTTAATTTAGACACTGCTTCGAGGCCCCTTATCGACGCTCACTTATTCTTCTCCCCCAATGCGAAGGAAACAGTGTCGTCATTGAGGGTGTTGTCGAAGTGAATGGTAGATGTGCTGTTTGGTGCGTCGGTTTTGTTTTTTCGCCTGCTAAAGTAGGCTCGTTGCATCATTCCCCAGTGACTACCTGTGGCCGCTTTTCCACTATTTCAATGTGGCTATGGACTATTCGTAGGAAGGGCTTGAATTTGCCCATTTGACTCGACCTACTATCACCACTGGTGTTATCACCATGAATGTTCTCAGTTATTTAATTAGTTATGTATTTAATTACTATTAGAATATATGTTGCCGCTTATGATATGCACACATCCCAATCACTGGTGCCGACACCAGGTTTTTGGTCTATCATTGTCACTTCGTGAGGAAAACTTGCATGTGGTTGAGGAAAGGCCGGGAGCAACGGCGCCCCATGAAGTGCTATAGCTCGATCATTGTTCGTTAATCTTGCGCTAGTTCTAAAATTTTAACCTGAAAAGCGGAGCTGGTGGCATGCAGTTGCACCGTCAATCACCGCAAAGGAGTGTGCTTGCCGATGGGGCTCGCCGACATTATCAGACCAAGGCTCATTTTTTAGGATTATTTTGAAATTTCTTCGTGTAGTAGGCACAAAGCCACGTAGCCGTTACACACTGGAAGAGACCTCTAAGTTTGGAGGATAACAAAAAAAATAACTGCATCCGAGGAAAAGCAACCTTTTTCTGATACGGCCCTGTAGTATGCATATAACGTCTTGTAACGCAAGTCTTGCAAATAATCCAGCATAATCGAGCCAACTTTGGGATCGAAGTGACATGACCCTACCTTAAGTGCGCATTTCAAGCGCGCATTGCAAGTGCGCAAATTAAAACAAAAAATACGGCGAGCTCTAACAAGCTGATAGTTCACTGACACTTTTGATACACTTTCAGATCCTATTTTTCCACGTACACTGTACCAAACAACGCACATAAAGCGTCTCTGAAAATTGCATTTTTTTTAGTTTGTTATAAAAAGTAAGTGAATTCGTATCCGGTAAGGGGGGGGGGGGCAGGGCCTGCATTGTATACAACTTTGCCCTTGCGTGTGCTATTCGTAACAGTAGATATTTGTAAATCTTGATGTTTGGCATTATATCCATACATGTACTACCAAAACGATTTGATTGATTGATATGTGGTGTTTAGCGTTACAAAACCACCGTATGATTATGAGATACGCCATAGTGGAGGGCTTCGTAAATTTCGACCACCTATGGTTATTTAACGTGCACCTAAATCTGAGCACACTGGCCTACAGCATTTTCGCCTCCATCGAAAATGTAGCCGCATTACTCCATCATCCATGCAATTTGATTTGTAAGTATGTACATGCACTGCACAATTGAGACGCCATATTTATTTATTTTTATTTTATTTTACTTTATTTAAATGCTTCGAAGTGTTAGTCCAGTGAATCCTCCCAGCTTATGAAGGCACTCAGCGGCGAGCCTACCCGCAGAATCTAAATTATAGTCACCTGCCAGCTAGCCTGCACTGTCTCTTCTGGTTTTGTAAAGTTGACGCAAACTTATTTCTGTTCGATGGCTGGGTGTGCATGCGCTAGTTGTGGATTGGCTTGTTTGTGTAAGTGCGTAAATCGGACCGTATGACAGCGAGCCGTGGTACAGGTGCTTCGATCAGTACTCCACATGACGCATTGATTGATTGATATCTGCGGTTTAACGCCTCAAAACCACCATATGACTATGATCGAGCGACGCCATAGTGGAGGGCTCTCGAAATTTCGACCATCTGGGGCTCTTTAACGTGCACCCAAATCTGAGCACACGGGCCTACAGCATTTCCGCCTCCATCGGAAATGCAGCCGCCGCAGCCGGGATTCGATTCCGAGACCTGCGGGTCAGCAGCCAAGTACCTTATCCACTAGATCACGGCAGCAGGGTGCCACATTTACGTACGTGCTCAGAACTGAGGCACTCTATACGAAAGAAAAAGTCTCTCAGCAGAGATGTAGTAGATGAGACAATCGCATGCAGCAGTATGAAGGAAAAACTGCTGGTGCGGTAGTGCTCTTGGCTTTCGGCAACGAACTCAAGATGCGGCTAGCAAAACCACGCCGAATGACGAGCACGTTAGTGGTTTATATACCATGTGATAGCGTTATGTCGTATTGATGATGTAATAACCATTCATGGATTCTGTAAAGCCGCACTGCAATGAATGATTATTCATATCATTATTTATTGTGGGTTTGAAAATACCAGACCGAAAGCGTAATTACGGAGCCAGGGTCTATTTCACAAATCAAAGGGAGATTTTATAATATTTTGCCTCGGCACTGTTTTAATTAACTTGACTTTTAATTACTTTGTGATCACGTGGCACGTGATTGTTGAGTATCGGAACAAAAGTGAATGTGTCTCGTTGCCCAAACGTGAATCGCGAATTGTGACTGCGCAAAACCTGTTGAAAGATATACTGCTACCGATTCCACAGTCGACCCGGCCACGTGAACCATCGGAACATAGGCTCTTTGAGTTCGCTTGCATCTTATTTCGTCTCGAGAACTGGTGGTGACACCACTTCGTTTCATTTCTGCAATGAGTGTATATGTATGAGCTGGATATATCATGCTTATTCGATTATTTTGTAGCTGCTGTCATAGGCGCAGGGTTCCCCTTCAAAAAAGTGGGGGTGGGGGGGTGGGGGGGCGAAGGTTAGTTGCATCGTCTCTCCTCAATATTATGTCAATGTATGGCGTCCCCCTTTTTAGGTGACGCCTATGGGTGTCGCCTTACACTTCATTCTCACTACAAACGTGTGCCAGCATGGCGCAGAGACTGCAGGCGCTGGACCGCACCGGCGGTATTTGTGCAGTTGCAGAAAGCTGGTGTATAGTGGAACTCCCGCGAGTGCCTTCACTAGGCAGAGGTTGCAGTTAAAGCCTTGTTCCGCGCGTTCTTCCTCGATTCCACGGGTGGACACGCGCGCGACAACATCTAGAGCCCCTATGTGTTAACGCTGCTCCGTGCGCTGGCGCCGACGTCAGCGGAGACGTTGCTATGCGCAGGTGGTGGACTCGTGGCTGTTGGCGCACGCCGTGCCCCAGAGCGTGGTGCAGGCGACCTCCCCATGCCCAGCAGCGGACCTGGCCGGTGGTGCGTCGGGCTCGGCCGGCGGCGGTTGCTCGTTGGCGTCCTCTTCCTCGATGCTGGCCGCGGCCCACTCCCTGAGCAGCAGCTCGAGCTCGCTCAATGGCGGCTCCTCCTCCGGCGCGGGCGCCAACATATCGCCGCCCATGCGGAAGATTTCTGCCTGCGAGTTCGACCGCGGCAGCCCGCTGAGGCCCATTGTGCAGACCAGTTTCGATGGCACCCCGACCTTCCTCACATTGCCTGCCGCTGCGGAGAATCAGGTATGCTGCATTGCGTGCTATGGTTGCCAAGTGATCTTATGGTTTAATAGCGATGCTTAGACTTCGCCTGTTTTCCCCTTTTCGCAGAGCGGGGTACCCGGCGCGCCTGGCAGCACTGGCTTGGTGCGTCCCAAACGCCGCAGTCGGCAGGAGCTACAAGCGCTCAACGAGCGCGAACTCATCTTCGAGCTGGTCAAAGACATCTGCAACGAGCTGGACATCCGCCTGCTCTGTCACAAAATCCTCCAGAACGTCACGGTGCGTCTCATTTTACATGTCAGCGTCCTGTCGAAATAGGTAAAAGCGATGGCAGCCTTGTTGCAGGCCGCCTGTTGAGTATATAAAAGTTCTCGAAAAGGTGTGCGAAAGTGTCCGCTGAGATAATCGAGACCGCATAACTGCGTTGCCTTCCGTGTTCCACAACAGTGGCGAGGATGCTCTATTTTCCAATAGCCTATAGTTTGCGGGATGCTTTACACTCTTAAAAAAAGTTAGTAAAAAGATAGCAATTGCAAGCAAATAGATAGTAACTACAGTGCTTACTACCTTTCTTTGGCCGTTACCAACCTTTTGATACTTGTTTACTACCTACCTTAGTAAACAGTTAGTAACTGGGATGAAAGAGATAGTAACTGCAGTCGTTACTACCTTTCTTGCCCCGGTACTACCTCTTTGCTACCCAGGTTTTGACTATCTATTCAAAAAGAGTGTGTGAATGGGATTCTGATAATTTATGAGAGGAATTGTCTCGACGTATTACAATTAAATGGAAAAATGACGCAGAAGGTATCCATAGATCAAGAAAATACTTTTTGTTTTGAATTACGTAACCTAGATATGTAAACGTCATTCTGATATTGTCGAAACGGAGAAGTACATGTTAACCATAAGCAAGTGCTACACGCGTTGTAATAGACAATTACAACAAACTGAGTAAATTACAGCACATACTAACGAGACTGGCAGATCAAAATAACTAGACGGTCACAATCAGCCCCGAGGACAGTCATAGTTATTCAACTGCGGCGTGTCTCCAAATATTATCATTCTTTTGGCACGTCAAACCCGAAAAACAATTATTACATTTTAAACACTGATATATTAGCTGTGTGAAGCATTCAAATGCACCGAGATTGAATTCGGTACATAATGCCTTTTTGTGGCTGCTTTATGATAAATAAGTATTATATATAATTTTTTATAAGTAATGTTGATTAAAATTCTTGTGCTACGTCACCAAACACACGTAACAATGTAGTATATTATAGTGCTATAGGTTTAAATTAGTTATAATTCATCCTGAAACACACGTGCTCCCTTGTGCCAAACATGCCCCTGCAAAGTAGGAACTATATATACCCCATGCTTATTTCTTACTACGTGTATACGTAAAAAAGTAGTGAACCTGTTCGGTCTATTCCTCCTTCGCATTCATTGCACACCACTCTTCCTTACCCCAAGATGTCTGGTAATGAGACAATGATTGACCAACATTACCAGTAAAGGAATAGTCAAAATGAATGAACAGATACCCTTACTACTTTTTTTTCTTGAAACCTTTAAAAGTTACTATCCATTGGTGGTAACGGCTAGGGTAGCAACAGTTACTAACTGCTGGTCGTAACAGCAAAGGTGGTAACCGTTACCTCCCTCGTCGTTACTAACTGCGCTTACTGCCAGGGTTGTAACATATGTGACAAACTATTACTACCCCAAAGTTAGCAGGTACTACCACCTTTTTTCTAAGAGTGCAGGCTGTGATGCAGTGTGCGTGTTATAGCCCGAAGAAAAAAGTACACTGTTTTGCACTGCGACAAAATGAGACTTATGTTCTCACACGGAAACGACGGCATGCATTCGCAGTGCCACGAGCCATCAGCGGGCGCTGTCTGCCAAACTGAACCCGGTGTCCTGATTTAATGGATGTTAAGGTTCAAGTGTAGAGGCATGCGTATGGGTGTATTCAGAAATTTCGGCTACACCCCTCCTTCCATCATACGTACATAAACAACAAAAAGGCGCGCACACATGCCTTAATGTATGTATGTGCGTGTGTACACCTGTACATACAAATGGGAAGACTATTACAAGGGCATTGAAATGGTGTCGCCTTTCCCCTGCGCCCCCCGTCTATATATTCCATGGGACGTGGGCTCCTGACGTGACGATGAGACGTACGTTTGATATACGAAAGTTCATCTGACACTCTCTCCCACTGTCCTCAGTCGGCGTAGACGGTTTCTCTTCCGCGTTGCCTCCCGATTGCACTGGCCGCGCGTTCATACGCAACGTGAGCCTCGATCGCGTATGTAGTGGCAATGCCGCGGCATATATCCTGTGATCGGCGTTGTGTGTTGCGTGATTCATGAGCCAGACGCGGGCATGTGTCGTTCCCCTTGGCGACGGCGGACGTGAAGCCCTGTGACATGGTTCCGTTTAACTTTATTTGTACACCACCGTGGAGAAACGCCTCATTCATCGGATGAGAGGTTGCGCGAAGCCGAGTTATAAAGCGCACCACATTTTCCCATTTTGCGTTTTCGTGGCCGTTCGGTGGCTCACCGCGATGCTTATTCTTCTACGCCTGGTCGTAATGCTTTCAGATTTATTCGTTACCTCCTCGTATGGCACTATACCCGTGGTATATTTCAGCTTTGTAATTAAGTGTGTTACCGATTAAGGAGGTAATCAACGTTTAAAGAGATTGTCATTGTAACCATATAATGATATTTTGTGCCTACGTCTGGTACTACACCCAATGCTTATTTTAATTGCAGATCGGATAATATAATTTGAGTACCGGCATGTTGTCGTTCACTGACTTCGCGTTTGTCGACGTGGCTGTTTCTTTCTTTCTTTTGTTTTGCCTCCGGCGTTCATCATTATGCAATGCTGAGATTTCTTGAGTTGAAGCTATGAAGTAGTCTCCAGTGGTCAGACATTTTCAGATTAGTACATAAATACGTCAATATACTCGAATAACAGAAAAGCCGAAGCAGAGACGGCGGAAAACGAATAAATGTCTGTTTCTTGATTTGATTTGATATGTGGGGTTTAAAGTCCCAAAATGTTTTCTCGAAATCGTCATTCGAACTGGGGAGACCGCCGACCTCTTCTTTTTAGATACGTGACTCCAAGTTTCAGCATTTCGTTATGTCACGTGTTGCGTAGCTTGCGGCTGTTTCCGGGCCTTAATCTGATTACGCGAATAAAGCAAACGAAGGTATTACCAGATAGTCTGCCGGCATCGCTTGGAGCGAGTTTCATCAAACTTCCTGGCTCTCCATGGAAAACATGCTGTGAACCCAGTAGTGGCATACTTTCCTGCATATGCAGTTAAAACGCGATCTAACGAAACCAGATTTTACGAAGGTCCAAATCTGACAAAGAAATTGTCATTTCCCGGCAGCTACCCATAGGGTTCTGGGTTGACACTTCGATGACGTTATATGTTGTCATTACTCTCAATTAACAAATTGAATTTGGGAAACCCGATTTAACGATTTTTTTCTGAAATAATTTCTGAGTAAAGAAGCGGTGATTCCTTTCTGCATGTCTAATTTTGGCTCAATTGGAAGGCTGCAGGCCGCGCCCATATGCACCGAATAACGGAACCAAGCAGTCGGTAGCATGCACATATGAGTACTGGATTGTGCTGAGCGGCTTTTTTTGTTTTTTAATTAATTTTTATCTCATGTTTTATAAGACATACAGCAATTATCGTCTTGTCGCATCGCTCAGCATGCTCGCACAATCACTGCATTTGTTCTCCCCGTCTTTGCGTATCAGCAGTGTGGTGTAGCTTCACGTGACTGTCTGCCTGGTTGCATCGCACGGACACGGAGCCTTCTATGTACGGGGAACATAGGAGGCTCCATGTCCGAACCTCCTTCGAGCCGCCCTTGCGGATAACCACGTGCACAGGCATGGGTTACCGTTGAGTGGACGTTGGTAGTCGTAGCTACCAAAATTAAAAAGAAGGAATAAGAACATCTAGTGTTCACCAGCTGGTACGAAGCAAGTGCTTCTGCGAGATTCGAGCCAGTGACGAAGCATGAAAGAAATGGAAAATATTGACAAAACAAAGCTGGTTCAAGATGCTGGTCTCAGACAAAGATTTTGATAGTATTAATAATAATCTTTTTTAGATGAACATAAGGTGCCGTTTAGAAAGTTTCCTGTAAGTGTCGTTTTTACAGTGACTGTGTAAATATTGTCGAGAGCACTGGCAGCTGTTGCGCGCATGACACTTTGTTGCGAATCCTGTTGCAAACTGCTCTCTAACGAGTGGAAACTGCAAAATTTTCAGCGAATCAATCTTCATGCACGTATGCGCAATACAAGCGAACGTAGAGCCGACGGACTTGACTTACGAGGCTTCTCCTTACATACTTTCACTTTCAAAAAGAGTTTTAGCTTGTACGTGTACCGGTTTGCACTTACCGTCATACCAAAACGGATATTTTTCGAGGTTTTAGCTCTTCATGCATAAATGTTTACGTACGTACGTAAACGTGTATACCTTTACGTTTTCGCAAACCATGCTAACTGCATTTAACTTACATATGATTGAACCACCATTGTGGCGAAATCACGAGACGTTCTTTTATCGCATGCAGTATCCTCGTAAGCGCACAAGGGTAAAAAATTCAAGGCTACTGCAACGATGGTGTCGGCACCTTGTGGCACTTTGTGCAACCACAGTCATGAACACGTTGGTTTATGCGTAATGTTTTTGGGGTGAAAATGGCTAACAAGGTAACTCATTTGTAATAACGCCGCTGTGCTGTTTCTGCAGCAGACGTACACTGCACAATGTTTTTGCAATTGCAATTTGGAGATTACCTGGTTCACTATTGCCCCGCTAGATGGCGCCACCTATCCAGTTTGTTGGAAGTTTGCACGTTTACGGCGTCAATATCCTAGGCCATTCTAGCTTTGGTAATCTGACTGAAACAATGTAATGGCTATTGGAACTCGCACTTCGGCTTATTTCAACTCAATGGCCGAGTCCCCGCAATGCGGATACCACGAGTTTCTACAAACGAAGGTGTATCTGCGAGATAGGGCGGGAAACGTAAAGCCTATATGGCGGGAAACGTAAACCCGATCTGGCGGGAAACGTAAAGGTTTACTTTCCGTAAAAACCCGCGCATGCGCAGATTCTATCCGGTATCTGGTAAAACGGTAACGTAAAGAAGTATTCGTACAAGCTAAAAGCCCCTAAAAATAATGACTAAAAAAACAAGGACAGCGATGTATGCGCATGGATGAGGTATGTGTAGTAAAGGTCAGGAGGATATTAGCTTGAGCTGTATGTGTATGTAGGCCACCGATTACGTCTCGTATAATAACACGCATTGGTCAGCTAGCTTTGTCCGGAACCAGGATTGGCTGCAATTTGTTTTTTACAAACTGTTCTGGCGTGGGAGTATGTTCCCGTAATCATACGATCAATGCCACATGACTGATTGCGAAGTAAACTTGCATTACTAGGCTTGTATCGACCTTGCTATCTAGTTTAGCATCTAACGGCCGCATGTATAGAACATGTTTTTAACGCTTCTTTAAAGGGACACTAAAGGTAACTATTAAGTCGACGTTGATTGTTGAAATAGCGGTCTAGAAACCTCGTAGTGTTATTTTTGTGGTAAGAAAGGGCTTATGTTGTAAGAAAATCACGTTTTAGTCATCCACATCGGGTTAGCGCACATCAAATCACCCGGATCAAGAAGCGGACTGACTCATGTCACTGTTGCCGTGCACAAGGTTGCCCGGCTTTAGGGCACAGCCACAATGCACTTGCCAGCACACCGGCCGCACCCAAGCAGAGGGTGAAAGGTCGTTGCCAATTGGCTTATTTGTCCCCTGCTTGCGTGTGGCAGGGGTCCCGACACGTGCGTTGCGGCTGTGCGGCTAGCGCATGAAACGGCCCTTACTGTGCGGTCACCTACACTAGTAGACAGAATGAAAGCAGCGGGAGCAACAGCAGCAACAACCAACGATCTAGTAACGTCGGCAACAATGGCCATTGATCATTTTCCTGCCATTCGCTCCGAGATGTCAGACGTGTTTTCGTTCGACTGCGCCCCGCTGGATGGCACGACTTGCACAGTTTAACCACGCGAAAATTGAATTTTTCAACCACTTGCGCCATTTCCCATAGTAACGTCCGGCGGTCATTTTTTTGCACGTATCATACAGAAACGAGCAAGCAGCATTTTATTGCATCTCTTGATGCACGGAAGGTTCTTTATTTAGTACAGCTAGATTGATTACTAGTGATTAATTGTAGGCGGTTTGTCTGACGTCATCGGTATCATTTTGAGAATGTCCTATTGCAGTGCATGTACTCTTGAGCATTTACCTTGATTTCTCGATAATTAAGGCACTGCTGTTGATAATATTGTCCTTTAAGGCATTGTCATACATTGAGCTTTCAGTCTGATGTAAATTTTTATTTGACTTTCGTGTCCCTTTAATGCTGGCACAACTGTAGGTTTGGTACGTGAAACCGCAGCGACGAGGCTTTTTTACAGAGAAGCTGTATGTGTCATTCGTAACTACCGTATACAAATAATTGCCTACCCAACAACAAAATATGAGCATCATAAAAGACCTGCAATTTCAAATAAAACAAAGCAAGTATTGTGATAGTAACGAAATGTAATGATATTGAAGTGAGGCTGGCAGCTAATCCGATTTCACACAACTCTACAAAACAGTGATGTAAGAGAGGACGGCCGCTCCAGGGGCACCTTTCGCACAGTCTCTTCGTGTTTTGAGCTCACCATGTTGAAGGCGGGGGCGCAAACAGAAATTTTTTTCGCGGGTGCGGCAGGTTCAACCAAACTTTCTGCGTGCGGTATGTATTTCTGTATGTGTGCGTGTATATATGCAAGCAAAATTGAAAATTTTTGGGGGGGGGGGGAATGTTGAACCGCACCAACCTCCCCCCTCTCTGGATACGCCACTGGTAAAAGGGTATACCAGCCATTCGCTAATGGTTGTGGATAGAGTGAGATAGCACGCGCCAGCGATGGTGATTGCGCCCGTACAATCATTTCACACTCGCTGCTCGAGCAACCCCCCCCCCTTTCGCTAATTTTCATGCTCGATAGGCGGATGGGGTGTTTTCCCTATGTTTCAGCATTCATTAGCTGGTCTAACAGGCGGGGGGATCACTATCACGTGCGTACTGCCAGCGACAGAGATGGGTCGGCTTGGTTGATGCTTGCTTCAGCCGCGTTCGCCGCCTTCTCTTATTACCCGTAGATAGAACGTACAATGAGCTGGGGGATCTTATCAATTTGAACTAATATGACGGGACATAGCACGCTTTCCCGCCGCAGCACTTCGACGGAGGGGTGCGGGCATAAGCACCTTCACTCCTAAAAACGTGAATAAGACGAAATAAATAAATGCGTGTGCTAGTCATTTACCTTAGTGGAATGGCTTGGCTAATGAATCTTTCTTCGTAATGCCGCCTTCCGGGCGCGTTTCGTCTTACAGGTGATCACCGACGCAGACCGGTGCTCGCTGTTCCTGGTGCACGGCGACCGCGACTCACCGGCGGGCCGCTGCCTGGTGAGCCAGCTGTTCGACGTGTCGTGCCGCTCGACGCTGGACCAAGTTCGCTACGAGGAGGTGCGCGTCCCTTGGGGCTCCGGCATCGTCGGCTATGTGGCGCAAAGCAAGGAGGCCGTCAACATACCGGACTGCTACAACGTGTGTTGTTCTTCGCATTCAATCATCTGACGCTTTCACGGTTTTCCCAGAATCGTGCATCTTAGATTATCACTGCATATTTCGTGGCAATGTTATTTCTGTGGGTGCGTATATGTTTGCAAGTGCATGTATATATGTCGGGTGTTGAGTTCGAAGGGGAGTAGCGCTTTCTTTGTCGTGATGTGACATCCAACTTCCGTAATCGCACGCGGCCGCGTATGTATTTGCCAAGTTATGTCACTCGCAGGACTCCCGGTTCAACAAGAGCATCGACCTGCGCACCGGGTACCGGACGCGATGCATGCTGTGCATGCCCATCTTCGACCGCGACGGCGAAGTCATCGGAGTCGCGCAGGTCATCAACAAGAAGGGCAAGAACGAGCACGACGTTTTCAACAGCAACGATGAAAAGGCAAGAGCTTTTAGCTTATATGTACTCAACCGCTCGATCCCATCGGGTATTGCATGTATCGTAAAACACATCAGAGAGCTTTAGTGCCGCAGTGGCCCCCAAACTGCTTTTGTACTCGCGATCCTTTGTAGTCTCCTCGGGGTGTCTGGCGAAGAAAGCGGAGAGACTACAAAAAGCGCAAGAGCTTGGGGCAGCGCTGCAGCCAGAAACTTCTTCCGGGAGGAGGGGGGGGGAAGCACCTCCTTAACATGGCCAATTTTTGCTCTATATGCCATGGCGAAAAAATATTTTGGGTGAAGTAGGGGGGGGGGGGGAGTCTGGTGTGCCACTCTCTGTCTCGCTATGACTTTGTCTTGGGGGTCCCAACGGCTAGGGGTCTAGAACGTAGCATTTTGGGCGTGTTGGTACTGTAGTGTTCTAGCGCACGAAAAAACACGGACAGAAAAATGACAGGAGAGGCGCTAAACTTGCAGCAATGTTGGAAAAATTCCGGAAATTCCGAAAAAAGGTACCATATACATAGGCAACATCGCTTCACAATCATCGGGATCGCACGCACTTTGTGAATTCACATATCTTTACGTAGATAGGCTAACTCCTTACACGAAAGGACAATTGACGCTTTAAAAATAGTTGTCTGGCAGCCTATCAATCATTTCGTGCCTCAAGTATTTTGCGGGTCAGCTGACCTCTGCTGGTGCCGATAATTGCACACTCATGAAAAATCGGCGTGCACCTGGTATAGACATCGTATGCACTTGCTCTGTCACTTGAATTACTGCAATGCCTGCAGTGGGCATCGAGGAACCCACACTTTTTTCCTTTCACGTTGTAGCGGTGTTCCTTTAAACGTTCGTTTACGCACCGCCCACTTTCGCTCACATAACTCTTGCCAAATGTCAGCGGAAGCTTGTACACAACTGCGTCATGGCACTCTATAAACCTATTTTAAATGCGATACATTTCTTAGCGAACTTCCACGACTTTGATCTATCTATCTATCTGTCTATCTATCTATCTATCTATCTATCTATCTATCTATCTATCTATCTATCTATCTATTTATCTATCTATCTATCTATCTATCCGCTTACGGCTAGATAGATAGATAGATATGGTGGTCTAGTGGCTAAGGTACTCGGCTACTGACCCGCAGGTCGCGGGTTCGAATCCGGCTGCGGCGGCTGCATTTCCGATCGAGGCGGAAATGTTGTAGGCCCGTGTGCTCAGATTTGGGTGCACGTTAAAGAACTCCAGGTGGTGGAAATCTCCGGAGCCCTCCACTACGGCGTTTCTCATAATCATATGGTGGTTTTGGGACGTTAAACCCCACATATCAAATCATCATTACGTTTGGGTGCTCCCGTGGTCACCCCCTGAACTTGGCGTGAACAAAAATTAGCATAGAAGGGTAAGATGGTTTAAAGAATGCGACGCACTGGTCAAGACATGAATAATGCCACAATCCCGTTGCGTATGTCGTCAAACACTTCCCGCCAGACAGTAGCACATACCCACGAATGGGTTGTGCTGTGGGTATACGGGTATGTGCCACAGGTGATCGACATTAATTTCTACTTAGGAACGACGAGAACATACAAGGGCAGTCTTGACGCGCGAACGTCAAGAAGTTCCCGACACCTTTAGCGTCGACCCGTCGAATGCAAAGAATAAATGTAAGGTTCCCAGCTGGAATCGAACCCAAGTCTTCTGCGTGGCAAGGAAACATTTTAGCACAGAGCTACGCCAGGTCTCAGAACTACTTTTCAAATAGACGCTAATCTTCGTGAAACGTCAATAGTGGTTGCAGTGCTGCCTACCCAATTTTATAATTATTACATATGTACTCCTTTGATACAGCCGTCACGTCGGGTTGACGTCAATTGTTGTTAGTAGCCTTGCGCTGAAGTTTATTTATATAGCAGGGACCAGGGCCAGCATCCTCACGAGCATAAGCGTGTCACATCAGCTTCTGGTGTTGCTAGTACGCATGTTCATGTTGGCTTCCTTGCGCAAGTGCAAAGAATTCGTTATATAAACATATGCAACTCTTCAACATATGTCTGTGCGTGGAACATTTGTACATATATTTAGCATCATTTTTGTGTCTCTCAGTAAAAATTTGCAACATGGTCACCTTTTCTCCACATGCTTTGCATAACGTTGTTACATGGGATCTGCCGAATTTTTTATGCTTCGTTTTGCATCCCTGCTTGTCCGGTGAGGTAGGTCTGATTAGTCTGCACAGACTCTGCAATCTTGTTGAAGCAGAAAACATTACTTTTACGTTCGCACGCTGTTCTATCGTCTTTAGTTTCGCTCGCTGTATTTCGTACCGACCGGTTGTGCCTTCGCGATCTCCAACGTCAGTGCAGCTCTGGCTGACTGGGCTCGCCCTACGCCACTTCCTGATGCCGATTTCCGACGAAAGCGCAGCTCTGCCCGACTGGACTCGCCTTTCGCCATCTACTGACGCTGACAAGAGCTGTCGTCGATAGTGCGCCGTCCTCGGACTCCTGCGACCGTCTCCATCTTTTCTATCTTCTCCTTACTTCCGTCGTTTGCGGTCCCTGCGCCTCGCTCTCTCCTTCTTCCCTCTCTATCTTTTTACCTTTTAATCCCTCCTTTACCCCCACCCCTCGTGAGCTACTGTTGAGGTGCCCTCCCCCTGATAGACAGTTACGGGGCTCACATTTTCTTTTCTTTTCATTTAAAATCACTTCCCTTCATTGCCTTTAGTCGATGTGATAAACTGTGGACTTACGGTATGACCGCGACTTTTTTTCGTATCAGCTGGGGGCTGGCGGCCGAAAGTCTTTTTTGACCAACTAAACTTGAAAAGATCATCCGATACACTGACGAGCACGTGCATATTGTAACTCGCGGGCTCTCTTGCCGTCTTTTTTCGTGCGCTAGAAAAGTACAGCCCCGTACAGGCATCACAGGGGGGTGGGGGGGGGGGTCGTATCTGCTCTTTTTCTGTACTGAGTTCAACTTGTCCTGTCACGTTTTTTTTTTAAGGCTGTGCAGGTTTTAGATAGATAATGCTTAGCGTCTCAGGGCCATCGATGCTGCAATCCAAGAACTCTTTACTTTTCACCTTTACCTCCGGAAAGCTGGGGGCCAAAAAGAGGCTGTTTGCAGGGACACGCCATCCACTTCCATTTTTCCATCCATTGCGAAGCTTTTTTCTCTCGGCCTCGGCTAACGGGGTGGGCTCTCCGGTAGACTCCTGCCTTTTATGGAGAACTCTGCTCACACCTACATTCTTTGATAGAGCTTTAGTGCTGGGGCCCCAAAGCGTGCCCTTGGTGGTGATGGTGGTGGTGGTGGTGGTGGTGGTGGTGGTTAGAAGATGAGAAAAGGCACCTAATTTGTGCAGCTCGGTTGGGAGCACGGGGCAGTGCCTGTATTCTTTGTAGTTGCGGCCGGAAAGAGGAAAGAAGGAAGCAAACAGAATGGGAGAAGGCGGGGAGGTTAATAAGAATGACTTCCGGTTGGCTACCCTACACTGGGGGATTAGGGAAGGAGAATAGAAAGAGAGGAGGGAATAGAATTGAAAAGAGAGACAGAGACAGTGAATTCAGTGTAGCGTGTAAACTCTACCGCAAATCAGAGGCCCTCACGCAAGCGCGGTGCGGCCGGGAGTACAAAGGAACACAGCGTGCGTGGGGTCCCCTGCACCAAAGCTCTCTTATCAGATTCAAGGCAATTAAAAACGCAATGAGCTAGCTGCATCTCCTAGATATACTCCCAATATCGCTTTCCCCGCGAATAGAGTCATGCACAGAGATTGCCAGGCGCCAGCCAGCCACGAAGAGTTTTTACAAGTGAGCGGCATTTACATGCGCGTGTTTACTTGAAATGCTTGAGAAATATAGGAGGTGGTTTACAGGCCCTTTAAGATGTTCACTTAGCAAGAACATCGGCAAGCTTCCACCCCACCCCGCAGTACAAAGCATCGAACTGACTGCTAGCCTCATTAATTTCGCTGACCTATTATTCATGTTTTTAGATTCGAAGCATCTTGTGAGCGAGCTTGATCCGGTGGCGTCCACGCTCCACTGCGCATGCGCTTACTCTCTCTTTCACTCTCCTCATTTATGCAGGCGTTTGGTCGCCTTCTCTCCTCTCTCCGCCCGCACTGCATCCTGTAAACCCACTCCCTCCTCTCCCTGACCCATTTCATATAAGCACGTGGGCTCGGTCCGCTTTCCTCGTTACTGGCCACATTACCCTCATTCTCGCTTCGCTCCCGTTCTGATAAGTTGTGATGTACACGTCAGCACCAGTTGCAGCAGCACTCCAATCTCTGCCAATATTGTCGCGGAGCAGCAGTAGCGCAGGGCTCACGATGTCATGCGCCACCTCGCGACGTTCACTCAGCGCTAACGGAAGGAACGCACAACCACAACGTAATGATAAAACAAACACTTGTGATGAGGTTTATTCGAGCAGAGAAGTCGCAACGATATCGCGACGAAAATGGGCGTACGGAAAGTCTGGCAAAAGCGGCCCAAACTCTCGCACAAGCAGAGCACGGGGCTTTTGGTTATCTTCCGAAGGCGCATACGTGTTGATGCGTATGCTCCACTACAATACCCCCGGGGTGAAGGGTAGCCATCCTGGCGATTCAGGGAGTAGGCACAATGAGGGGGTCGTAGTAGGGCTTGAGACGGTCGATGTGTACGGTCTCGCGTCCTCGACGGCGCAAATCTGGTGATTGTGTTAGTGGGTCGATGATGTAATTCACCGGGGAGGTCCCGTCAATGACACGGTACGGACCATGGTACCGAGCTAGAAGTTTAGAAGACAGGCCAGGAACGTGCGGGGGCACCCAAAGCCACACAAGGGAGCCAGCACGAAACGTAGAAGCTATGTGGTGAGCGTCGTCGTGTCAAGTCTTTTGTAGACCTTCAGCCTCACTTGTCAGAGACTGAGCCAACTGACGGCAGTCTTCAGCATATCTGGCGGCTTCCGAAAGCGGGGAGCACTCAGAT